TGTTGTCCCCATCCTACTTAAGGACCGCATCTCAGAAATAACTTCGAGCACCCGGAAAAGTGTCGAGAGAGTGTCGAAACAATGTCGGGCGAGTGTCTCCCAGGGCCCGATACGTGAAAACCTCGAGTTTCGGTATTTGAGTTGGTGCTCGAAATTCTTTCTGGTGGTCAAGGCTAAAGTAGGCTGGAACATCACAATCCTGGGGCCTCCTGGGAGCCTCATGGGAATCTCCTGGGGACCCGCGGCCTCCTGGAGCTCTCTGGGGCCTCCTGGGGCTCCCAGGGAGGATATGTAACATGGGATCTTCTGGGCACCCAGGCTGGACCACCTCTCGCGCGGCATCTGGGAGCTCAGAGATGCGAGAATGTCTTGAGCGAAACGGGCCGGACCACCTCGCGCACGGCATCTCAGAGCTTAGAGTAGCGAGGATGTCTCAGGCGCAGACGGGCCAGACCACCTCGCGCAGGGCATCTCAGAGCTCAGAGTTGAGAGGATGTCTCAGGCGAAACGGGCTTGACCACGTCGCGCGCGGCATCTCTGAGGTCAGAGTTGCGAGGATGTCTCAGGCGAAATGGGCTGGACCACCTCTTGCGCGGCAGCTCAGAGCTTAGAGTTTGGAGGATGTCTCAGGCGAAATGGGCCAGACCACCTCTTGCGCGGCATCTCAGAGCTGAGAGTTTGGAGGATGTCTTAGACGAAACGGGCTGGGCCACCTCTCGCGCGGCATCTCGACATGCATAAGTGCGAGGATGTCTCAAGTGAAACGGGCGGGACCACCTCTTGGGCGGCATCTCGGGGCTCAGACATTGGAGGATGTCTCAAGCGAAACGGGCCGGACCACCTCTCGCGCGGCATCAGTCTCAGGCAAAAACAGGCCGGACCACCTCGCGCACGGCATATCAAGGCTCAGAGTTTGGAGGATGTCTCAAGCAAAACGAGCCGGACCACCTCTTGCGCGGCATCTCGGAGCCCAGAGTTCCGAGGATGTCTCAGGCGAAATGAGCTGGACCACCTTCTGCGCGGCATCTCAGAACTCAGAGTTGCGAGATAGTCGCAGGCGAAACGAGCCGGACCACCTCGCGCACGGCATCTCAGAGCTTAGAGTTTGGAGGATGTCTCAGGCGATACGGGCCGGACCACCTCGCGCAGGGCACCTCAGAGCTCAGAGTTTGGAGGATGTCTCAGGCGATACGGGCCGGACCACCTCTCGCGCGGCATCTGGGAGCTGAGTTTGGAGGATGTCTCAGGCGAAACGGGCCGGACCACCTCTCGCGCGGCATCTGGGAGCTCAGAGTTTGGAGGATGTCTCAGGCGAAACGAGCAGGACCACCTCTCGCGCGGCATCTGGGAGCTCAGAGTTTGGAGGATGTCTCAGGCGAAACGGGCCGGACCACCTCTTGCGCGGCATCTCGGAGCTCAGAGTTTGGAGGATGTCTCAGGCAAAACGTGCCGGGCCACATCTCTGCTTTGATTTCCCTCGGCCGGAGTTAGCTTCTATCACAACAGCACCCCGTTCAGCAAGCTGTTTGGGGAAAAACTTGGTGGTCCGGGACGTTTCGCCTGAGACATTCTCGCAACTCTCGTTTCTGAGTTGTCCGGGATTGGGCGTTTCGCGTGAGACATCCTCCAAACTCTGAGCTCCCAAATGCCGCGCAAAGGGTGGCCAGGCCCGTTTTGCCTGAGACATCCTCCAAACTCTGAGCTCCGAGATGCCGCGCAAGAGGTGGTCCGGCCCGTTTCGCCTGAGACATCCTCCAAGCTCTGAGCTCCCAGATGCCGTGCGAGAGGTGGTCCGGCCTGTATCGCCTGAGATATCCTCCAAACTCTGAGCTCTGAGATGCCGCGCAAAAGGTGGTCCAGCCCTTTTCGCCTGAGACATCCTCGGAACTCTGGGCTCCGAGATGCCGCGCAAGTGATGGTCCGGCCCGTTTCGCCTGAGACATGCTCCAAACTCTGAGCCCTGATATGCCGTGCGCGAGGTGGTCCGGCACGTTTTGCCTGAGATATCCTCGCAACTCTGCGCTCTCTGATGCCGCGCGAGAGGTGGTCCAGCCCGTTTCGCTTGAGACATCCTCCAAACTCTGAGTCCTGAGATGCCGCGCAAGAGGTGGTCCGGCCCGTTTCACTTGAGACATCCTCGCACTTTTGCATTCCGAGATGCCGCGCGAGAGGTGGTCCGGCCCGTTTCGTCTGAGACGTCCTCGAAACTCTGAGCTCTGAGCTGCCGCGCAAGAGGTGGTCCAGCCCATTTCGCCTGAGACATCCGCGCAACTCAGACCTCGGAGATGCCGCGCGCGACGTGGTCCAGCCCGTTTCGCTTGATACATCCTCGCAACTCTGAGCTCTGAGATGCCCTGCGCGAGGTGGTCTGGCCCGTCTCGCTTGAGACATCCTCGCATCTCTGAGCTCTGAAATGCCGTGCGCAAGGTGGTCCGGCCCGTTTCGCTCAAGACATTCTCGCATCTCTGAGCTCCCAGATGCCACGCAAGAGGTGGTCCAGCCTGGGGGCCCAGAAGACCACATGTTACAGATCCCCCTGGAACCCTGGGGACCCCAGGAGGCCCCAGAGAGCTTCAGGAGGCCGCAGGACGCCCAGGACAGGCCCCAGGGGCCCCCAGGAGATTCCCAGGAAAGCCCCAGGAGGCCCCAGGAGGCCCCTTATCAGAACGTGTCAAATTAATACACATCTGGTGTCGATTCGTTGATTTTTCCTGCTCTTGTGCCCCCCCCGCCATTTGGGGGGGCCCAGACGGCCACATGTTAGATATCCCCCCGTGGGAGCCCCAAGAAGCTTCAGGAAGCCCCAGGTGGGGTCCAGGAGGCCACAGGGGGCCCAGGAGGAAACCCCAGGAGGTCCCCAGGAGACCCCAAAAGGCCCCAGGAGGCCCCCGCAACTCGGAGCTCTGAGACGCCGCGCTCGAGGTGGTCCGGCCCGTTTCGCCTGAGACTTCCTCGTAGCACGTTCCGCCCGAGACATCGTCGCAACTCTGGGGTCCGAGATGCCGCGCGCGACGTGGTCCAGCTCGTTTCGCTGGAGACATCCTCGCAACTCTGGGCTCCGAGATGCCGTTCGGGATGAGGAGGAGGAGGAGGAGGAGGAGGAGGAGGAGGAGGAGGAGGTGGAGGTGGAGAAAGAGGAGGAGGAGGACGAGAAGGAAAAGGAGGAGGAGATGGAAAGGAGAAGGAGGAAGAGGATTTGGATGAGGGAGCAGGCAGGAGGAGGGGGAGGAGGAGGAGGAGGGAGAAGGAAGGCAGTTGCAGGAGAGGACATAACAGGAAGCGAGAATGATACGTGGACTTGCAAGAACGCGTGCGAGAGGTTGTCCGGCCCTTTTCGTTTGAGACATCCTTCCAATACTGCGCTCCAAGATGTCGTTCGCGAGGTGGTCCGGCCCGTTTCGCTTGAGCCATCCTCGCAGTGCGAAGCTCGAAATTGTTGCGCGCGAGATGGTCTGGCCCGTTCTTCCTGAGACGTTTCGTAGCACAGGGACTCCAATCACAACCTCTCTCATTCCTCCTCCTGCCTCCCTCTTCCCGCTTCCCGCCTGGCTCCTCTTCCCTCCTCCCTCCTCCCGCCTCCCGCCTCCCCCCGCTGCAGCACCTCTGCCTCCGCCTCCCCACCCCCGCCGTCGTCGTTTCTGCCGCCTCAGCATCCGCCATGCGCGCCCTGCCTTCCGCCCTCCCCAGACATCCGACGCCGCGATTTTTCTTTTGAGACGCGCGCCCGCGGACCTCGATGTCATCCCCGGGACTGGTTCTTTGTCAGGGCTCTTTGTTGTGACCCCAGGGGCGCCCGAAACGGGCCTCTGGAGACTCTTTCTCCCTGCTCTCGGCGCTCTCCTCGCGCTAGGAACTGTCGCGGAACGCGCGCTGGCGAACCTCGCGCCTGAGGTGGTCCATCTGGTGCGTCTTGCAGCGACCCCCCAAATCCTTCGACCCCCCCGCTGCTATGCAGAGCGTCTAGGATCCTCTCCAAGGCTGCAATATCCAACTGCTTGCCCCCGATGTGGACACTGGGCTCAAAGCCCGCCGGGAACTACACGAAACCCTCGCTGACGGCGTCGGCAAAGTCGGAGGGGCCAGGAGACGCGCGCAAGGCCCGCAAGAGGAAAAACGTCGCAAACGGAATCTTTCGATTTGCGCATGAACGGCAGGTTCGCGTTGTGTCGACGAGGCGCAGACGCCAGCGCGGGAGCGCGAGGTTGAAGGCCAATGGCGACCCGTTGGGGGCAACAGTCAGACAGACACGAGCGTTCAAGGTTCAAGGATCCACGCGGTGACAGACACCAGCGCGCAAGTCCTCGCAACGCGAACTTGCCGACACATATGAAAAGGAACTCGTCGGCCTCGGCCTTGTTCGTGTGCTCGTCGCACCACAGCCGATGCTTCCGCTCAGCCTTCCCGTCCGTGGTGGCACGCCCGTGCACCTGGTGTGGCCTCGATGCTCGCGGCACCGGCTCTGCAGCCAGGGACAGCGTTCTTGGTGTACCCACCGCTTGTCCCGCAGATGGCTCGGCACTTGAACGACTGAACAAACGCAGCGAGTCTTGCGACTTCGCCACGTCCGCCCTGCCAGAGCATCCCGCGAGCTGTCCAAAGACACTGACGGTCGACATGGGGTCCCGCCGTGAGCTGCACGAACATCTTGTCATCCCTCTTCTTGGCATTGGCCCAGCGATCCCAGGAACTATCGAGTTCATCAGCTGCTTAAAAGTAGGGGCCTGGGTGGCCATCTTGGTGCGCTTCAGCTCCATCGCCAGGCCTTCCGCTGTGCGACCGCGCGTGCGGCTTCGCTGCGCTGCCTGCCGCAGCTTGGTGTACGTCTTGACCGCGCCCACCACGCCAGAGAATCGGTGAACGCTCTACCCACCAGCCCTCTTGGCAATGACGGTTGCGGACCTTTTGGAGCGCCCTTCCCCAGTTCTCGAGCCGGAACGGTTACCATCCGTAGCCGTTCTGGTTCAAGAGCTGGGGTGGGTGCTTCGGGCTCCGCAGTCGTCATGGCCAAGAGGGCGGCTGGGCAGAATGTTCACCGGTTCTCTCGCGTGGTGGGCGTCGTCAAGACGTACACCAAGTTGCGGCAGGCAGTGCGGCAAAGCCGCACGCACGGTCGTACCGCGGAAGGCTTGGCGATGGAGCTGAGGCGCACCATGATGGCCATCGAGGTTCCTATTTTGAATCAGGTAGTGAAGCTCGCTATTCCTCGGAATCGTTGGGCCAATGCCAAGAAGAGGGATGACAAGATGTTTGTGCAGCTCACGGCGGGATCCCATGTCGACCCCAGTGTCTTTCGGCAGCTCGTTGGATGCTCTGGCAGGGCGGCCTTTGCGAAGTCGCCAGACTCGCTGCGTTCGTTCATACATGAGTCGTTCAAGCGCCGTGCCATCTGCGTGACGAGCGAACGGTATAGTAAGAACACTCTTCCTGCGGAGCCGGTGCCGCGAGCATCCAGGCCATACCAGGTGCACGGGCGTGCCAGCCACCACGGACGAGAAGGCTGAGCGGAAGCATCGGCTGTGGTGCGACGAGTACACGAACAAGGCCGGGGCCGACGAGTTTCCTTTCACATCTCATACAAGTGTAAACTCAACGAGTCCGTTTTGCGACGCTTTTTCTCTTGCGGGCCTTTCACTCGTCTCCTGATCCTCTCCGACGTTGCCGATGCCGTCGGCGAGGGCTTTGTGGAGTTCCCAGCGGGCTTCGGGCCCGGGGTCCATATCGGGGGCAAGAAGTTCGATGCTGCAGCTTTGGAGCGGGTCCGCGACGCTCTGAATAGCAGCGGGGAGTTTCGAAGGATTTGGGGGGGTCGTTGCAAGACGCACCAGATGGGCCAACTGATTTGCAAGGTTCGCCAGCACGTGTTCTGCGGCATGACGGCCAGTGCCGCGAGACAGTTCCTGGCGCGCGCAGAGCGCGGCGACAACAAGGAGACGGAGGAGCTGTGCTGGACACTCGCTGAATTCGGGGCTCGCCCGGGGGTGGGCCGCGCATGCAAGGTGGGGTAAAAAAATCAGATCTGCTCTTCCCTATTGGTTCGCCCTCTGCCGTCCTTGCCTTTGAATCGTCCTTCTCCGTTTCGTCCCGCCCTGCCTCCCTTGCTATTCCTCCTCCAGTCCCTCCTTGCTGGGCTTGCGTCGTTGCGACCAATTGATCATGGGGACGGCTCAGTTCCCTGGGACGGTCTTCGACCTGCTACTGCCGTCGCCGTTGTCGTCGCGAGGGGCCTGGGCCAATTGAGCAAGAGGAGATGGGGTACGGAGAGGAGGAGGAGGAGGAGGAGGAGGAAGAGGAGGAGGAGGAGGAGGAGGACGAGGACGACGACGACGATTAGGACGAGGTGGGGGATGAGAGGGTGGATGCGGTGGATTATGAAGAGGAGGAGGAGGAGGAGGAGGAGGAGGAGGAGGCTGGCTCGCGGCGCGGCTGCGCCAGCCCTCAGCGTCATGCCAGCCGAAGTGGGATTCGTCGGAACTTGTCTCTCTCTCTCTCTCACTCTCTCTCTCTCTCTCCCCCTCTCTCTCTCATTTTCTCTCTTTCCCTCTCGGCTTCTGCGGAGTGTGGATGAGTGCCGAGGAGCCCAAGGAGTGCGAGGGGGTGCCAAGGAGTCTGGAGGAGTGCGGGGGAGCGCCGAGGAGGAGTGCGGAACAGTGCCAAGGAGGGCCGAGGGTTGTGGAAACAGTTCCAAAGGAGTACCGAGGAGTGCAAAGGAGTGCCGAAGAATGACGAGGATTGCCAAGGACAGCCGAGGACTGCCGAGAAGTGCGGAGGAGTGCTAAGGACTGCCGAGGACTGTCGGAGGAGCGTGGGGTGCTGAAGGTTTTGGACAGGGTTGCGGAGGAGAGCCGAGAAGTGCGGAGGACTGCGGAGGAGTGCCCAGGAGTGCCGAGGAGTGCCGATGGTTTTGGGGAGGAGTGCGGAGGAGTGCCGAGGAGTGGTTCGGAGGAGCGCCGAAGAGCCCGGAGGGGTGGGAAGGAGCGCCGAGGGTTGCGATGGTGCGGGGAGGAGTGTCGAGGATCGCGATGGACTGGAAATCAGTTGGGGTGCCGAGGAGTGCGATGGAATCAAATCTCCTCGTCGATCTTCGCCGCGATCCAGGCCCCAGAAAATATTCGACGATCTTCACAGAGATCTCGGATCAAATGATCGCCGCGATCTCCGTCGCGATCGAGGCCCAAATATCCACGCCACCCTCCGCCGCGATCCAAGCCAGAATGGCGAGCTCCGCCGCGATCCAAACACTCCAACGCGCTCTTCGCGGCGATCCGGGCCAATATCTCGACTGCGATTGCCTGTGTGATTCAGTCCAAAATCTTCACGGCGATCTCCGCAACGATCCAAGCCAACATCTCCACAGTGACTCTAGTCTTCACTGCGATCTCCACTGCGATGCAGGTCCAAATCTACACTGCAGTCTCCATTGCAAGCTAAGCGATCCAGGCCAAAATCTCCACCGCGATCCAGGCCAAGATCTCCACGGGGATCCCCGCCGAGATCCAGGTCAAAACCTCCACAGTGATCTCCCGCTGCGATCCAGACCCAAACATACAACCTGATCCAGGGCCGAATCTCAAAACGAACTAAAATCTCGATGGCGATCTGTGCCGAACTCCTGGCCAACGTGTCCACGCTAAGCTTCGTCGCGATCCACACCGAAATCTCCAGAGCCATCTCCGCCGCGATCCAACAAAGCATCATGGCTACTACACCCGAGATCCACAGGCCAACATCTCCACGGCGCACTCCGCCCCGGTCCATGCCCAAATTTCCACGTCGATCTCCACCGAAATCCTGGATCAAATGATCACCGCGATCTCCGTCGCAATCCAGGCCCAAATCTCCACGGCACCTTCCGCCGCGATGCAGCCCGAAATCTCCATGGCGACCCTCGCCGCGATCCAGGCATGAGACCGTCACGGCGACTCAGCCAAACCGCCAGGTCGAAATCTCACCAGAGATCTCCGTCGCGATTCAAGCCGAAATCTCCACTGCGATCTCCGCGGCTCTCCGCTGCGATTCCCGCTGCACCGCGATCTCCGCTGCGATCTCCGCGGCGATGCAGGCCAAAATCTCCACGGGACCCTCCGCTGCGATCAAGGGAAAAAATTCTACGCCGATCCAGGCCAAAATCTCCACCGCGATCTCCACGCCAGTCTATATCCAAATCTCCGCGTCGATCTCCGCCGCGATCCGAGCCCAAAAACCTCATTTCGCTTTCCCCCAGATCCAGGATCAAAAGATCATCACCGCGATCTCCGTCGAGATCCAGGCCGTCTGGAAGCTATATTGGGCTCTCGGGGGCTTCTTTGGGCCATCTTGACAATCCAACGACCCGCGGGGAAACCGCTGCACACCCAGAGGGGGCGGGTACGGGGAGAGAGGAACAACCTCTCCCCGAAGGTGAAGAAGGGGTATAGAAGGAGGGGGTTCGCTAAGCAACTCACGCCGCAAAGAGCTGGTGGCATTCGTAGATGCACAGCAGCCTGGCAGGTATGTGGTCCAGGTTCGAACGCGCACGGATCATTATTTTTGAAAGCCGAGCCCACGAAAACCCCCAAGACTTTCTACCGAACTTCCTGATGCCCTTTGCGCAGTCGAAAAACATGTCTATATGTTTGTTACATCAATACCGCTCGTCGGCGGTTGATCCGCCTGCCCCCTTCCAGTTGGCATGGAGGTCGCCGTCGCTGCAACAGTATTGAGCCATCGCTGCGGCGGTCTTCAACGAGACCTCCGACCAATACGCTCCTCCAGGGCAAGCGGGGCGACAAGGGGGAACCATCACGACATGCCCCCCCGCTTCCGCGCCCTCCCCCGCTTCCTCTTACAGTTGCTTCCGAGTTCACAGCATGGCGGTGGAGCCTCTGACAGTGCCGACCCGACAGCTTACTCGTCGACCAGGTGCGAGAGAGTACGACACCCTCTAGCGTTAGCTTCCCGATAGGCATGCGTCACACAAGTTTTCGTGTAAACATCTCATGTGCAAATATCAGGTTATCATGTTCTACATGCCATGCCAGCCCGCACTGGACGGGCACGCAATCGACCTGGGAAAACCGCAGTGGGTTAAGCAAACCTGTTTGGGGATACTGCACTCCGGCTATAATTTTTGACCACAGCCTCGGCTTCAAATGGGCTCCCCGACCCAGATCGAAGGTCTCGAAAGCCCGAGCCCCTTCTGAGCCCGAGGTGATCTGGGTCCCCCTCTCTCCCCCCCCCGAGACGTGGCCACGACCAGCTCCCACGGCGAAGCCCCCCCCTCCTTCCCTCCCTCCCCTGGCCGCCAGCTCCCCCCCAGAGAGCTGGCAGCGCCCGGCTCCCCCGGAGATCGGGAGCGGCCAAGAGGGGGGTGTCCAAGAGGGGGGGTGCAAATCATGACCGGCGGCATGTGCGCGGCCCAGCGGGGGGGCCAGGGACGTAATGAAATAAGAAGAGGCGCCACGAAATCTGGGGAAATATCATGGCCCACGCCATGATATCCACCCCCCCTAGTCATCACCCCCCTCTTTTCCGCCCCCGAGGAGAGCTGGCCGCGCCCGGCCCCTCTCTCGCCCCAGCCGATCCTCCGCGCCGCCGCTCGGCGTACTCGGCGGCCCCTGGGCTCGGCCACGGCGCGCGCCGCCGGGCGAGCCAGGGCGACCGCTGAGGGCCGCTCTTTTGCGCTGCAGCCGGCGGGGGGAGGAGGAGGAGGAGGAGGAGGAGGAGGAGGAGGAGGAGGAGGAGGAGGAGGA